TCTGAAGGCAAAAGGGGGTCAAACACCGTATTAGTATGGTGTTCCTAATAATCCTTTAGGTGAGTGTATACTGTAAGTATATACAAGTCCATTATCATTAGACAAAATTAACGCATATGCCTCGTTAATATACAGGCGGGCCAATTAGGCTAAATGACTGGTGAGTTTGATAAAATGAGTGAACCATAGTCTCGAAGGAAATAGTGTGTTCTCAGAATCCTAAGCCACAGTGCAGGTACAGTACTTGGACTCCTGCAAGAGTGGGACAGACGAAGACACCCTCATCTTGATGGACTTCAGCTAACACTGAGTCACTTCCCTTCAGTTCATGCTACTAATAATAGTAACATTTACAGCTTATCTTTTGGTTGGGAATATTTGCTTGCACACAGAATTGTTATGAAAGAGGGGGAAAAACAAATATGTTGTTTCGTATAAGTGTATTGTATCCTTGTCAAAATAAAAGAGTTTTTGAGGATTACAATTAGCTTCACAATGTAAATTAAATAGTCCATTTTCCACATTTTGCTTTTTGCCGAAATCCATTCATACACTTTTCTTGCTTGATACATTACTTGTACTTCTTGCACGGCTGGGCTGCAAAACACATAATTTTTTGAGCACTTTTCTGACTTGTGCGCCTGATGGGAGAATAGACCCCTTACTGCATAAGTAATTTTCTTACCTTAAAAATGGGCTGTTTACAAACCTGAGGCAATTTTTTCAAAAGAAACTTATTATCAATAGCTTTGCTATGTCAAAGAAAAAGTAATAATAAACTTTCAACAAAGAAGTTCATCCCGATGAAGGAAAGTAGCATTTGAGTGTGGCTCAGCCTTGAGAGTTTTTTGACTAAATAATTGCCACATTGAGAAAGTCAGACATTCAGCTCCATTTCCAATGTGTTACCATGGTGATGCGTTAAATTGAGGTTCCGCTTTAACTTTCTGTGTTGTCTGTTTGAAATGTAGTGCAGTAGCTTCCTCAAAAAACTCCAACAGATTTGTTAAACAGGATCTACCTCTCCTAAATCCATGTTGGCTACCCCTCTTTGATTATAGCCTCCATAACTTTACCAGTTATACAAGTTAGACTGATTGGCCTATAGTTTGACAAAAGAAATTAAAAGCGAAGCAAAATGACATCATGGTTACCCCTCAGCAACATCTTTGAAGAGCATGGGCAGACTGGGCCGCTGCCGGCGTGATTCTGGAATGGCGTATTGGGCCTGGGGTGCAGGCAGAGCTTGGGTACTGCTTGCACACGTTTTGCCGCTCACACACGTACATAGAGGTAGTAACGGTGTCGATATGGTAAAACAGGCACAGTAGTGACACGGGGCTCCCTCCCAATCCTCTCTCACAAGTGGAAAGTGCGGCTTTGGTCACGGCATGCATAAATAAAAAAGAACAAACCATAAAGTTTGATACAACTGAAAAATCAGAGAATCATGCAGATCCACAGCTCATTTACAGTAAATGGGGGCTTACGGACCAGACGTCATGGAGATTTGAAGTGCTTGCAAAATACCCTTAGAAATAATGAGTCAAGTGGTTGAAAACATGATGGCCATTCATTAAGCTGTTAAGCGTCTTTGCCATACTGAATATATTTTAATACATACTGCCCTGTCATTCCCATTTTAAGTTTTTCTCCTGTTTCACACATGTAAAGTGCATTATAATTGAAATAAAACATGCACAGGGGAAAATAATAATTGATTTAATTAGTCATAAGAAATCCAGGCTATTTCACTAACTCCTCTGTCATTAAGTTTTCTGTACTAGATTCACATAAAGACACATCTAGACATTTCTCCAAAACAATGATAACTTTCATAAAATGCATAAAAATAGCATGGTTGTAGCATATAGGGCCACCAACAAAAACAAGTACAGACAAATCAACAAGCACTCCCCTTCATAACCACAATGCCTGCATCCCGCATTCGAAAGCCTTCACATCGAGTCCCTTCAGATATGCTAGCTCAGGCTCACGAGGTCAACAGGATGAAAATGTCAATCATGGTCGAGCAAAAGAGCTCAATCGATTATTTTTCAAGTTTGTTATTAAACAAATTTTGAGAAAGACCAAAGTTATGGCATTGACATGAATTCTATATTAAGTTTTACCTACTCTGATCTAAATATTGAACAATAACATGATTTATTTGAACTTTCTGGTTAAACTTTATTAATAACCCGAATAGCCAAGAAATGAAAATGAAATTGAAAGAATGTAACAGGAACAAAAGGTGAAAATCTGTCAAGAACAAATGTAAAACATATACTTGATATAGACTGACATGCCCATTTATTTATTTATTGCATGCATCATTTTGTTGGCATTTAAGGTATTAACCCATAGTGGGACAGAGACGTTTTGTATGTTAAATACCTTCTGTGATAAAGGCAATAATGCTCCTACGATGTTCTGAAAAGATTTATTGCAAATACCGTTTTGCACAAGTATTTCAAAACAGTGTCAACATCACTTCAATGCTACTGTTATTGGTAACATGAAGGTTTTTGAATTATATTGTTGTAGGACAAAGCCGCAAAAGTGGTGTGTGTGTTTTAAAAAGAGGCTGAAATGTTATATAAAATGACAAGTGATACCTATTACATATTATACTAGTGCACATATTTGCCACATTAAAATGTCAGTTTGAGGTGCGGACGGTTTATTTCCTGTGGTTGATTTTTAAACAATACTTTCAAGCTGCATTTCTGGGAATGCTGCCATGAAGCGCGTGTGTGCTGGGAGCAGTTAAACAGCACCAGCCTCTCACTGGTGCCATGCTACAGCTGTGCTTGTTGACCTGGCACAGAGCTGCACCGCTTTAGCCCAAGAAAGGTGCGGTGGATTTCTAATACTGATGGGATACATGCAGAGTGTGTATCTATGCTTTGGAAGGTGCTATAAGCTGTTAGGTAGTAGCACACAAATCAGAATTAGCCCTCTCTGAATTTACACATGCCTTGAAGTATAGTCAAAAGTAACAAAAGAACAATACAACTTTGAATGCAGAATGAAAAAATATATATATTATTATATGTGTGTGTGTGTGTATATCCTTTCACAAATGTACACCCACTTTTACATTTACTTGCTAATCTGACAATTTCGTCCTAATAAAGTTTTACCAGTTATGCAGATGGATATTACTTGCATATTTCACATGCTATAGTATTATAGTACTACAGCGAGGTCCCTCCTGGTATCTGGTCCATGAGTCTTCAATAACTAGGTGCTGTTAATAGCACACCCCATGTAGAGACATACCTGAGGTCATTCTGCACACAAAAGCCCTTGTTTCTTGCCAGGTTGGTCAAGAATGTCCTTCTGCTGGAGCCCATCTTTCTCTCCACTAGGTAGATGGTCGCGTCCCTGAACTTGACTTCATGCTGGACCTGGAGGTTCTGCTCAGGCTGCCTTTTCCTTTTCTTCACCTGCGGCTGGATCGGTGTGTGGATCATTGTCCAAAAACAAATGTGAAAATGCAGTGATCTTTGGCTTCAAACATTTTTATTTAGGTTTTTTTTCTCTTGAACTAAAACGCCCTTGATGATGTCATTGTTTTTAGCTCTGTCTTTTTTTTCTCAGCAGCACAACTTGACATCTGTGATGAACAGCAGACAGAAACACAGACGGACTGAAAGAATGGCAGTTTGATACTGCAGGTGTTTTGGGTGAATGTAATTTGATAAACTATGCATCATGCCATTTGTAAAATCTTGAAACCTGCAAAAACTCACTCAGGTTATTGCTTTATATAACTTCTATCAATTAAATAAATGTTTTTTAATTTAATAATTTCATTTAAATTAATGCGGTACATGTATTCCCAATACTCTGCAATTCCATTAGAATCACTGCAAATATGATAGTAATTTGGCTAATATTTTGTATAGCCTAAAGCAGTACCTTTCTTAAGCATGTCAGCCTAGCTTATAATGACACTGCATTACCGCACCCTCTCTAATCTCTTCACAATAAGACTTCAGGTATTTTCACTATATTAGTCATACAATTACTGTTGAACTAGTCGTATACATTCTGGTGATCGTGTATATATGTTTTCACTCACAAAAGACTGCAAGTAACATTGCCGAAAGGGATGAATGAAAGGAATGAATGACGTCGTAAGGTGATAAGTTGCTAAACTTATTTAATAAAATTTCAATATATATATATATAATAAGATATATATTATTTAGTCAAACATAATTTTAGGCCGCATTTAGAGACATTATGGGGTTCCAAAGCAACTCCTGTTTTCCTCTCCTCTTCCCCTTGCACTGTTCTTGTCTAGCAGTTTTAAGTGAGAGCCTGTTGTACTTCAGCGGCTTGAGGCCAGGCTGCCTTCTGCAGGCCATGTAATTCACCATATAGTCCAGATTTTATATCCGAATAGTCCCATTATTAGCAAATGAATATATAACATAAGATTATCTGTCTCACGTTGTATCGTGCTGCATTTTACACCTGAAAAGTAGCACCAGTTCTCTGCCCTGCTGTTCAAATGAAGACTCTGCTGCAGGGATATTTTAGGAAATGCGATTTTACAGCTGCACGTCATTTTCCACAAAAGGTAATCTGTTACCTACCTGCAAGCACAAACCGGCACAGTCCGCATGCCCCGGTTTACACACACAGATAGCTACTTGAATCGGAGGAACCTATGCAGATGAATAGGTGCAGATGCTAATCCCCAACCTGATCATCATAAGCAGGGAGACGGGTCGCGATGGGGTGGAACTGTGTCACTCTCAGCAGCCCAACCAGGACCGTGGAGGTGTGCTGGGTCTTTAAATGCTTTAAACCTGTCATACCAGCTTCTCTTGATGTGCAGGTCTTTAAAACTCACTGGCAAATATATATTGAGTACTTCAGTGTTAAGTCAGTAAATCATTTCCTCTACAGCAATATAGATTAAAAAAAATGTGGTCACATTATTGTTTATACCATAACATACTTCCTAAAAAATCATGCAATTAAACCTTAGTTCCTTATACCTCGGAGCATCTAAAAAAATACAGATATACGAGTTTGGGGAGAAAGAAAACAGACTCACTAAATTATGATACTTCTAGTATAGTACTTTTGTATATTTGTTTGTTTGAGTATACATACATCCACCCACACAAATATATGTCTGCCTTTATACCTTCCATGTCTGTGTGTGCATGCTGTGTTGTGTGTGTGTGTGTGTGTGTGTGTGTGTGGGGGGGTTGCATAGATCACATTTGAGGATCAAATTGTCCCCAAAATGCAGTAAAACCTGAAATTTCCCTACTTTTGGGCACATATTTTGAGGTCCCCATTTGGAAACCATTCATCTAAATGAAAAATTACATTTATATGTGCAATTTAATGAGGAAACACACTAATTTACTAAATAAGCTAATACTACTAATAACGGTAACACAGTGGTTTCACACCGACAGGATTAAGGGTTCGAACACAGCTCCCAGATCACTCTGTGGGGTTTGTTTTCCCCAAATTTATTTCTGGGTATTAGGGTTCAAAATACATTTAGTTAAGTGGTGTCTCTAAACTACCCATAGCCTGTGAGTATGAGGCCTTTGATGAGGTGGCATGTTACAGTACGGTGCAAAAGTCTTAGGCAGCCAAAGAAAACGATGTTTAAATCATATTCATGTTGGTGTAAAACTACGCTATGATGCCTATCAGAGTGTGTCAGCTTAATTATTTCAATTCTTCTGTTAAAATCACCCCAGTGTTTGCAGCAACCATCCAGAGCACCCATGTATCTTTTCACTTGGCCACTAACACACCTTGTATAGGTAATCAATATCTCATTGAGTTTCTAAACTAATTTAATTAATGAACAACAAACACAAGGCATGGCTGAGGAGCCCCTGAGGAGAGTTTTGGGAACTGAAGCGGTGCTCATCTAGCCATCCAACTAGATATCAGTAACTTTTTGGAAAATGTCTTACTGGTTTTTATTGTGTCACTCTTAATTTGTGTATGTTCTAATGTTAAATTGTGTTTTTCGTTCATTTACTATCCAGATAATTAGCTTAAACATTTCTTTGGACTGCCTAAGACTTTTGCACAGTGTTGTATGTGGGGGGGGGACCATCCCCCCTGCATTGGGCCAGTAGTATGACGCATGTAAGGATGCAGGTATTACTGCTAATAATATTACTCATAATAACTAATTATTTAACAGAGGCTTTTTGGTGTGAGTAGACAAACGCATCGTATCAGATACAATCCTGCATTAAGAACTGCAAATCACAGGCTGCAAAAACCTACAGTATAACTATTGACATTAATCAAGTCTTACAGTTTGAACCTCTGGTTCAGTGAAGTCTCGCTTTCTCCATTCCTCAGCCCTGCTGGGTGAAAATGCAAGAGGAAGTTACTAAAATAGAAAGTCCATGCAATTTACTGCCTAAATAGCAAGTATGACCTGATGTGATTTATTTTTTTTGTTTAATTTTGTTGAACAATTATTACTAAGTCTTTGTATAACAAATGATACTGAGTGTAAATGAGTCACACCTCCAGGGTTATGGGTTCAAATCCTACCCCTGTGCAATGCATGCAGTTTGCATAAGTGTCCTCTCACATGGATTAGCATCTGTAAACTGTGTCCCATGTCATTTCATTTGTTTTTTGGACTTCAGGATGAAATCTCCACATATATGGGGAGATCATACAACAGATCCAGGCCATGAACCCATGTCCCCTGGAGATGAGAGAATGTAATGCGGCCCACTGAGTCTAAACCAACTAATACAATTTATATGTGCTTTTAACCAGAGGTGGATAGTTCAGGTCCAGAAACTAAAAATCCAGACCAAGATTTTGTTTCAACCAACCAGTTGAGTACTCTCTGACTGTGACTCTTTACATCAACTGGATGGTTGAGACACAATCATGGTCTGAATTTTTACTTTCTTGATTTGAACTATCCACCCCTGCTTTTAGCTAATTTATTCAAATTTTGCTTTAGCTTAGTTAGCAGTACATCAAAATGTTTCATAACTGTTGTTAGGAAGTGTGTACAGCCTGCATGGGAACAATCACAAAAGCTTGCTAACCCCACGAAACCTATTCCTGTAAGTCCACTATTAGATATCACTTCCTATTACACACTTCAGCTACAGCTTTGACACAATGTAGAAGTTGAGTGCCTTATATTCCTCATTTAACGTTTAAATAAGAGCAGTGCCACTGTCACAGTCATGGAAGACTGGAGAGCAATGGAAGCGAAGCACCTTCCCACCAAGGAGCAGTGTGAGGCCTGGAGTCCCCGGCAGGTCGCCACCTTTCTTTGTCAGGTGAGCAACAGAATTGCTTTCCCCATTGGGTGGTCAGTTTGCCGTTATTTGAAGCTATAAGATTCTTATACACACACATGGGTTATAAACTGTGTGTGTGAAAAGGCCTTAGTGACCACTACAATAGCATTCAATAGGCAAATACATGTCGGTGTTAGGCCTACAATATAGCTAAGATTAAATGTGTATGATTAAATTCTGGCATTAAACTGAATTTCTTTTACATGCCATGAATAAACCCTAATACTGATTCTGTTGTCTGATACTTAATATTGCAGGAACATCAGAAAGGCCAAAAAATAGTAATAATATTTAACATATTTAATTTAATTCATTGTTAATGCCTTATTTGGATAGCCCTCCTACAGTGGATATACAGAGTATTTGTAACATATGAAGAACTCATTAGTTGAGATTCAACAATTAATATAACATTGTTTGAGTGAATAATTAAATTGAATTAAATTAGTCTAAGAATAGGTCCATGAATCATGACATATACTCTGTATACTGTGTATTCTGTTGTACACCAACAGACAGCAAAACAGCTTAATTGTTAGATCTGAATTGTTGAAATGCTACAAATCCTCTGTAGGCGGATTATCCAAATAACATATTACCAATTCATTAATGTATCTTCTTTGCCATTGAATTCGGTCTGACAGAGAGAACATTCTATACTGCATCATATCTGTTTTTACTTTCATTTTTGATTCAAATAGAATGGAATGAAAGAATGTTCTGACACTGTGAAAAGGATGAACATTGACGGACACCGGTTGCTGGTAAGATCATGTCAATGTCTGTCTTGAAATCCACAACACGACATACACACAGAATTGTGAAGGCAGCATTGTGGATTCAGAAAGTCCTACACTCTGGTTAAAACCTTTGCACACATATAAATACAAGTAAATCAATAATGAGGTAATACATTAATTAACCTCAGTATATGCAGAAGGTTATGTATGAAATTATCAGAAAACAGTAGTAAAACACTAAATAAATATATACATGTATGCTCAGGATTTTCCACAACCAAATTCTGGTGTCGTACTTTTGGAACCATTACAGAAACTTCCTTTTAACAACCACAGCCTGAGCTGTATAGGCTAACAAGGGTCTAATTGCTTGCTGTAATTTATGCTTCTAACCTCACG